GTTGTAACCTTTGTTCTTGCTCTACAAAGGTTTTTGCCTTTCCTTCAAAGGTTCAGACTTTACACCTGAAACAAAAACCTTGTTTACTACAACTCACAATCAATAGCGTGGCTAAATAATACACTAGAACATGGTACACCATAACTTGTGTAGGTCTATTTTTTTCCGCTGTAGAAAACAAAAATGGAATTTTGAGTATCCTTTTTCAGTCTATAAATTGATAATATCTTGATAAATTTCTGTAAATGTTACCAGACTTAAATTAGACAATATTTTAAATGGAATTGTGTATAACATTAATTACATTTAAATGGTTTAGCTGAGATTTGTATGTTTTGAATTTCTTTATGGTTGGTGTCAAAATGAGTGATTAACTCGCGAGTTAACTTAGGTTAGTCGGATTTTCATGAGTGCAAATTATTATTTTTAGATTCATTTAATAAATAAGTTACATAATCGAGAGTCGAGTTGAATTAACGTGCGAGTTATATGAACATTTTTTCTGAAGATTTAAAATATATATTAAATCAAGTGCTACTAGTTGAATGGTTTTTTTTACGAACAACTTTAAATAGAAATATCTAATTTATATGAAAAATGCATAACTCTGTGCTCGAGCTGTTTTAGCAAGGGAATCGGTTCAGACATTATCACTCCATGAGATAGAATCAAACTAAAAGTCATAATTTTTGTTTAAGCATAGTAATCTAATCTAGCTTTGCTCTAAAGGCTTGTCAATCTAGTGGTTGTATAGTCACATAAATCAGGGTTAAACAATCTGTCACAATTCGCACTGAAGATAGTCCCCTCTCTCGCTTAGGCACTCCATCGCCCAAAGCAACCCATCGAACTCAGGATGCAGTGTCGAGATACTTCGTATACATCCTCTCATACCGTAAATTAGAAGATCCGTATAGTCTCTTCGACACCATCCTAGCCCACTCAGCAGACCATCAATCCAAGATGCATTGTTATGGCATGTCAATATTAGGGGGTTCCGGAGGGACAAATCATGTGAGTCATCCTGTTGGCTTAGATCATCAACATATTCTTCATCTTCTCTTCGATTTGCGATGCTCAACTCTCTGCGTTGAGGGTCATTATCTAAAGAATATACCTTGAGAATATTATTTTTCCGTTGAACACCTTACCGTTTATGGCCTTCTAGATATACCAGACAATCTCATTGCATTAATTAAACAAAATATTTTATTGTTAAACATTGATTTAATTGTGTAACAATATCAAAATGCATAATTTTTGAAAAAAATTATATATTATATAATTTCAATATTTTATTGTCGACATGAAGTTTGGAAATGTTGCCTCACGGTAGATCGCTCTAAGTATCTATTTATTGTTTACAAACATAAAC